ACAATTTTCACTAAATAACTGTAAGAACTCATACAAAAGGCAAACGGAAACCCCCAAAACAGAAGTCACCACAAATGACAAGACACGTCAAAACAAAAGAGGGCTTGGGGAATTCTACGGAAAACTTGGGAAAAGGGGCGGATACTTGATGAAGTAAAGGGAACCAATACATTAAAAGTCTTCCTTCCCAGCGTGGCATCCCGAAACCACTTCAGGAATTATCTAAGCAAGCGGCAAAAGAGTTGGTTTTGTGTGATCCTTGAGGAAATCAGCAACTTATAGTACTTAAGGGCCATCTTAAAATACAGAGGAGACTGGCTATAAGGGAAATATCTTCTTCTTTTCAGCTTAAATATATTTTAAGATTTATTACAATTGATAAATATTAACCAATCCTTATAATATACCACGAATATTTTGTAAATATTTAGTTATAAACCAAAGTTTCTTTATAATGTTAGCCACTGTGTTCTTGTAAATCCCTTAAATACCGCGAAGGAAAACAACACTTTCAAGAGTTTTTAGTGCATTCAATTGAGCAGACAAGGAGCTGAAAGTCTCGGTAAACTTTGAGGTCCAGATTGCCACGCCCCCAGCCGCCGAACCCCTTTATAAACATGTTTGCTGGGCCGGGCTAATTGAAATGCAGCCACTTGGCTAATGTCGGTGGGACAGGTTTGGGGAGAAGGGAAACTAAAGGATGCCGGGATGCAGTTCCAGTTCCAGGGGATCCCTGAAAAGCCTCCTACGATGGCTACAAACTAATCAATTTAAAAAGTTTCAACCGGCAGCAAAGTTTTGCGTGCGATGAGCGCTACTTGTCTGCCTTCTAGCTGGGTAAACCTCGAGCGCCGGTTCAACATCGTTTTTATGTACACGCCTAATGGGGAAAACGGAAGTTGCAGAGGAAATTCGGGTTGACGACGCAGCAAACAGCCAGGGGAAAAAATATAGAAACAGCGCTCGAACACAGCGAGCAGTTGTTCTGCATTTCCGTTTCCGTTGTCGCTGTTTTGCTGCCCCCCTTCCTTTTAGGACCTGCACACAGAAATAAACTCGGTTGTAAGGCCCGTAAAACGCAGACCACTTCCTACTGAATTTTGTTGAATTTATTAAACAAGTTATGGAATTGGTTTACAAGAAAGGAATTTCCTTCGAATTCTCCAGTGGTTATTCTTGGTAAGAAATGTGGTCTGCATTTCTATACCAATTTATTGGTTATTAATGTTAAGGAGTATTTACGAATAACTTGTACATTTGGCGATAGGAATCTCTCCGAATATTTGTGGATGAAAAGAGATTTTATATTTTGTCACTATTATGTATACACATTATACATTATTATTTTCTTCTTAGTGAATTATGTTTTTATAAAATGGGCTTTATTTCAAAAATATTATGCCAGAATGTAAGATTCATATCTTTCTGATTCTTTGAAATTGAGTATTCTAAATAAAGATATATTTGTTATAAATATGTTTAATAAATTACCATGTTAACTTGAAACGTTATGAATATTAGTTGACGAATACTTTATCCTTAGTATATTTAAGCCCCTTTTTTCCCAGTGCAGCCATCTGAGAGTGCATTGGCATTGTCCTTGCTTATGATAAATCCGCGTCCATGTAACAGAACTCTCAAGTGGGGGGACTTTGTCTGCAAATATTCGCAAAAGGACGAGGACGAGGAGGCCGCACATCGCTAAATAGATAAATTGAAAAAGTTGCGCGCTTCAAATGTTTTTTGCAAAAGCAATTAGTTTGACGCTTGGGGCCGAGAGATCCACTCCACTCCACGCAGCATCGTATTGCAATTAGCGTAACTAAAGAGCAGAGAAAAACAATACGAGCGCCAAATGGCAGGCAAACCAGACCAAAAGCCAAAGCCAAACGCGGCCAAAACCAAGTCCAAGCCCACCAGCCAACCAACCAGTTAACTGAAAACGCTGAATTATGAGCCATGAGCCATGACCACGGTAGAATGGGAAAGGGAACGGCAACAAATGCCCCGCCCGCTGTGCCTCTTGGCCACAACGGGGTGGCGCCTCCCGATCCCAAATCCAATTCCACCGCCAATCCCAGAGCCACTGCACCCACTCCTTTGCAGCCAGCCGCTATCCAGATCGATGGGGTGGCTCCCTTGGGCGGTCGAAAACGCATTAATACCAAAATCAATCGGGCCAAATTTCGAAAAATAAAACAAGCGTTTGTCGGAAATGCGATTGCTTTCTGGTACCACTTAATACCCTGAAATTCATTTTAATATTTAAATCAGACTTTGAAAGACTAACTACATTTTTAATAATATTATATCAGAATAACACATTTTTATTTAAACTTAAGGTAAAACTAATAAACTTTCAAAACTTAAGGAACTGTCACTCCTTTCAGTTTACAAGTTTAAGTTTTCCTTTAAAAAACAGAACTCATCAACATTTTATGGGAACAATATTTTTTATGGTATTACTTGTTCTTCATTTTTATGATAGCCTTTTACTGACCAATAAACGGTTTACAGAAAGTTAGAGGTTTCTCTAAAGAAATGGCTGTGTTAACTGTTATTATACATAATTGTATTTAAACCCTTAAGCCTTTAAACCTCTGAAACGTCTTAATTTGCAATATTTTTCTAGGAAAGTTAAGTGTCACTATATAGGACTCTTCTACAAAAAACAAAACCTTTAGCAAATGAAACAAACTTTACAGGTAACACTTTGTGAAACCATTTTGAATTTGTTGGTTTCAATTTATATAATTCGATTTTGGTTTTACGGAGTTAAATATATTAAACCACTCAATGAAAGGATTTAGTCGGAAAATTTAAACATCATGAAACATAATTATATTTTAAAATACGTTTTAATCCGGAAAAATATTTAATCGATTGACCTTGACCTCTTTTTCTACAGGGTATTGAAAATGGTCGCAGCTGTGGCCGCGGTAAAGAATTCCACGAAAATCGGAGCGATTTTCCACAGCCCAGAAGCGAGAGCAGAGACAGTCTGTCGATGGGTCTCTGTATCGGCCTCTAATTGAAGTTCGTTTGAATGTGTGGGTGGGCGGAAGTGGGTGGATGGGAGTGTGGGTGTATGGGAGATCCGGTGGTTATGGATGAATTGGCCTGCCTGTTCGTGTGGGACATTTAATTAATTACATTTACACGGACCTGGCCTGTTTCCCTCTCTATTTTCCTGTCCGACAGGCTGATGTTTTGAGTGTTAATTAAAAATTGCATGTTAAATAGGCGCTGACATTTGTGGTTTGTTTAAGCTCATTGGTTGCCGAATTCCCAACAAGAGAATCCTTAAATCTATCAAAATCACCATATCACCTTTCATAGAAAGACAGACATATTAAATAATAATATTGAAAGTTTAAGTTTTAAAAACATATTAAAATGTATTCTCAGAAATCCATTTTTATTACAAATTACCAAGTTATCGAACCTTATAAATCCATAAAATGCATCTTGCCAACTTCCGTCCTTCCTTCGCTTTAAAGACTTCCCTTACTTATCCATAAATCGAATGTGGCTTAAAGTGAGTTATTTTACCCCTAATGAAGCCACTTACTTTTCTTCCCCTCAGTTGCATTTAATTACCCCAAAGTACAGCATCCAAAGGATAACTAATATCCCTTAGAATCTTTAGCCTGCTTGAGCTTAAACTTTGTAGGAAAAACCCTGGGCCCAGAAAGTATCTCCAAGTGGGAAGCTTAGCTTTTTGTGAGCCAGGGCAGGATAATTTTTTAATATAAGCAAACTTTGGGCCCTGTGGTCAAGTAAGATTTTGCTCATTTATTTATGAGATAAACTTTTGATTTGTTGTACCAGCTGGAGGAGAAAAGCAGTGGATGGGGAAGTGGTTAAATGCCGGCCAAGCTGAAAACATTTTATTACCCAAATACTATTTCTGAGCCTGTGGCCCCCCATCCAGTAAAGCCCAATAAAATAAATTTAATATGCGATTCTTGCCCCTGGCTTCTTCGGGGTAATTCTCGCTTATTATAACCCCCTTCAAGTCCCGACCACCGAAAACCCACTTCCGCCACACGAAAACTGTAACGCTCCAGTTAACAAACTTATGGCATAATAAAAAACTTTTTAAATAAATTCTCGCGAGGATTTTTTATGGCCAGTTTGTAATAAATAAAAATTTACCAACAAAAAAACCAGTTGGTAGCCAAACAAATTTAAATTAAGCTTTTTGTGGTCTGCCTTTGGACTCCTTTGACCGACTGCTGGAATTCATCAAATGAAACAAATTAAATAATCCAATTATCGGTTGTCATAAAGCTGAACCAATCAAAACCGAAATGAAACGCAAAGATATATGGCTGCCAGCACTGGAATACAAGCCGAACGCTAACTTTATGGCACCACTGTTTATTAAACTACAAGTTGAACAAAGGTTATCAGCGTGTTTTTTCCTTATCAATGAAAGCGAAATCTGTCGATGGAAGGGGGCTCGGAAAGCAAATATGCAATCTTCAGCCTCAGAGTTTATCGTTGGGATTTATACTTTGCACCGGCAAACGAGAACGGGCAAATGAGCCGGTGATAAGGTTTATCAGGAGAATTAGCAAACAGTAGCTATGTGGGGTGCTGGGTGTGCAGGAGGTGTCTTTCACATAGACACCCGGTATATAATTAATTTGCAATAACAACATATGGGTGGGCCGACAACACCCACTTCACACTCATGACGAACCATCCGCAAACTTGGAAGTTGGCAACCCGACGTGACTTTGAAGACTAGATAGCGGTTGAATAGCCAGACACACGCGATATACCCCTGAGCTTCTAAAAATATCATCGATTTAATCTGGGGAACCTGTTTATAATTTCTTAATAAATAATACAAAACTGATATGCTTTAAACTTTTTCAGAAACAACATTTAAAATAATACATACCATAATTTATAGACCAAAAAGTCTTAAGTTTTCCTATGGCAGGTAACTTTGCTGAAGTTTTTCCATAAATCAAATCGACTCTGACAGGTTTGTTATAACATTTTGTGCTTTATTGAGAATCCACTTTATACTTATGGCGCTACAAAAAACTGTTCAACATTCAAGCTAATCGTTATCATGTAATATTGTCACCGGAATTGCCGACATTTAAATGCCCTATGTTTTTGTTTAAACTTAACGTTGTATATACACGCATGGTTCATGGTTCATGGTTCGTAGATCGTTTCATATGGTATTGATATATATATATACATTTTACAGGCCAGTGCTCTTGTCCACGCCCAGGACGTACTTGTTGTAGCCCTGGTTGAGCTGTTCCAGCAGGATGAAGGTCAGCACGGTGTGGGGACCCAAGCGGCAGTAGTACGGCGTGAATCCCTTCCACAAGGCGAAGACTCCCTCCTGACGGGCCACTCTCAGCAGAACGTCGGCGGTGCCGCGGTACTCCGGCTTGCCGTTCACCGTCTTCATGTTCTGGATACGGGTCTTGGCAATGTCCAGCGGCATGGAGGTGATGGTGGTCAGCAGGCCACTCAACATGCTGGCGCAGAAGTGCAGCTTGATGCCCTCGTCCATCTTGAGGGGTCCGTTGCGGAAGTAGGTCTTGAACTGGGAGTAGCTGGCCAGTTGGGTCATGTTGACCACCATGGCGCGACCCACAGTGGGCAGACTTCCCCTCCAAAGGGCCGTAATACCCTCCTCCTTGGTGATCCTGGCCAGGGCGTTGGCCACATTCGTGTAGTTTCTCCTCTCGGCCACCGGTAACCTTCCATCGGAGGTCATGCGTACCAGGGCCACCTCCGCGGGGGTTCCAATAAAGGCACCGCATGCTCCAGCGATGGTGCCCATGGCCATGCTGTCCGTGATACCAGGAGCCCTCTGGAATCGCTCGCGGAATAGATCGTTCAGGTAGGTGTACATGCCCAATCTTCCAGTGGTATAGGTGGCCTGACGCAGCAGAGCAGCTCCAATGCCCTGGTACAGGGCCAAAGGTCCCTCCTTGCTAACTATGGTCTGGATGCAGTGCAGCGAGCTGCGGTACTCCTTCTTGCCACTGCCAGCTCCCGAGATTTGCATGCGAGTTTTCACCTGGGGATCAGAAATCACAGGGTTCCAGTGAGATTTTTGGGATGGGGTTTCTCCTTAGGTATATCTTACCAAATCCAAAGGCTGCACCACCATGGTGGCTCCCATTCCCGAGAGACCGCCGAACAGAAACTTGATGGCATTGGAGGCTGCCGCCTTTTTGGGCGGCTCCTGGCCACTCGTAGCGCTCATTTTTCCCGGGACTCTGGTTACACAACCACAACACTTGAATAAATGCCTGATATGTTTGCAATTTCCAGTTCTAGCTGGCCGGAAAAATCGACTCGCCGCTGCGGGGGAATGTGGAAAATGCGCCGATGGAAATGGATGGTGAAAGGCACCTCTCTTCGCCGATGGCACAATTAATAATGAATTTTTCCGCCGCACGCACTTGCCAAACAGCTGATATGGCTATATCTTCGTGTGGGTTTTATTTCCTAGATTTATTTTTGCACCCGCGAATGTTGTTCAATGTCAAAGGCGTCGGCTTTTCTCCCCCACGATTTATTTTTACTTTCGGACCAAGAGGCACGTGCTGCTTGGCTGCCACCGATTTGTTGCGTTGCCGCGGAATGTTTGGCACCAATTGTTTTTTATTTATTTGTTTTTTTCAGCCTGCAGTTGGTTTGGGAAACTTAATGCAACTCAAAAACACATCTGCTGACGAACGTTGTTGTTGGTGGCCACAGCTGATGACGTGTGCGCGCAGAGAGCGAGAGCGGCGACGCGAGAGAGCGCAGGGTTGTCAGGTGACCATGGAGGCATACTTAAATATATACTGAAAACAGAAGAGTTGCTGATTTTTTGAAAATTTTGATTAGGGAAAATGCATTTAAATAACTTATCTACCAAATACATACATTTGAGTAGCCTTAAAAGCATTTTATAAGGTTCTTAAGGCGGGAGGAAAGACTTCAGTTACCAGCGCCCTTTTCCACCAATTTTAGTTTTAGTGTTATATACTAAGTATTATTTGTTGAAAAAAAAACAGAAATATTTAAGTTACTTAAAAAAGACTCCAAAAAACTGGCTTGCTCTTTGGGTTCACTTGGCAACCCTATATACTCTCTTCGCATCTCCCTTCACCCAGTGCACCCGAAGAGAAACAAAACCGGTGTTGTTAAACGCCAAACAGCTGAGCGCCTTGACCGCACTTTTAAATTAGAGAGCGCTGCGTTAAATTAGCATTTCCTCGGTATCTTTGTATCTTTGTTCTTTTTTTGTTTACACAATTGATTCGCCCACTCACAAGTCCAATTCCCCAGATTTTTCACCGAACAACACCTTTGCTTACATATGTTCTCTTTATCTCGACTGTTGCCTTTATTTGGAATCCGCTTATCGACGCACGGTAATGAAATGTTTGCCTCGCTTTTATCGTAATTGCTCTAATTAGAATCACAATTGGACCAATTCGATTTTGATTCGTATTAAACAGCCGTTGCTAATGGAACTACAGTATATATGGGCTATAAGGTAACATGATAACTCATTAAAATTTATTTATTAGGATAATAAGATTCTCATAAATAATTGAATTTATTCTAATTTGAAATTTTTTCAGATATGTTATTAGATCTATTACCATTTATATTTCACATCTTGTTTTTAAACATTAAAACATATGATATGATATTTTTTACTTATAGCAATATCTGCTGCCCTTATTTCTGTTGTAGGCTAGATATAATATAGATGTTTCGCTTTGTATTTTAAGCTCTCGCCTGCTAATTACTAAGATACATATGTATTTTGAATTGGATACAATTATGAAGGGGCGTTCAAATACTGTTGCTTTCTCCACGTGCGACAACCTTCACAAGACCGTAGCCCCTCGAAAGTCGTTCCACGGATCAATAGTTCCCGTGAATTTACCGAAAATGACAGATAATGACGATGGGGCTTGTCGCACAACATATTATCATTAAATCGCACTCTTACATTTCTCGGGACGGCATTCGGTGTGGATTCATCCATCCAAGCGCATTACGCGCATTCGTTCCGCATTTTTCCTGCTGCCACCCACCACCCAACGCCCCTCCAACTGCCACGCCCACACCTCCAGGACGACCTTGGTACCGACCCCCTCATTCAATCAGAGGCGACTCAACAGATTGCCTGTCGTTTGCCTGCCAGTGGAGCTGAAGCAATTCCAATTCAATTTTAGCTGCGATGACGAAGCCGGCGACAACGCTTGCTCCGACAGGGATTTTCGCATTTTTTTGTAAAAAATTGGAAGTGGAAGCAGGAGGCGGCAGGATGTGGGCGTGGTGCCCGGCCAGGACATTGTAAGCAATCAGCAGAAAAAGAGGGCGAAGCGAAATCTCCAGCTGTCAAGAGGGGCTGTAGATAAAAACTACCTCCCATACAGGACATACATACCATTCACGACCGGAACGGACCCCCAGCCACGGTTAATATCCTCCACCTTTTCACAGTTGTGGTCAAAACAATAGAACTTTCTCTAAAAATGTATAATATCTTAAAGAAATGGTATTATATAAAACTAAAGTATATGAAAACTAAAATATTTTTAGAATAGATTAGAACTATCTTCTTCATCCTTTGTTATCTTCGAAATAAACTTATTAAAAACCAAAAAAATTTTGAAATTTTATTTTTATCAAAAAATTTTAAGTTTAAAATAACAAAGAAAATTATAATTTATTTTGTAGTGCTAATATTTTGAATATTTCTGTTAAAACAAGCAACCGGTGTGAAGGACATCGTAAGTGAAATTGAACGCTTGGACTTACAGAAGAATAAGAGGCGTTGGGGCATATAACCTATGTGGTTTTGATTGTGACAATCCAGGCGGATAAACAAAATTTTGCAAAGTTTAATATATTATAAAAAAATTCTTTTAAAAATCAAGCCGTTGAGTTTAATGTTGTGTTACTTTTTATTAAAAAAAAAAAGGTTAGTTGAAGCGTTTGACATTTAAGCTCTCTTCAGAAACTGAAAATATAAAAGAATATGAGTTTTAATATTGATATGTTTCTTAAACTGGTTATACGTATTTTTAGAACACACAAAACAAGTTACTGATTAAGAAAGTAAACAAAGTAAATGTACCTGGTATTCGTCTTGAATGCTCTTGAATATAATTAGCATTCAAGATACCCAAATGCCATGTGTAAAAGCAGCTCTTGAAAGCGCTCAACTCAAAATAAAATTTCGCCATCAAGTAAAGGGAATGGAACCCTTTGAGAACCCCACTTATCAGCTGCACTTTCGAAGCATCTTCGAATTGCTCGCCTCAGCGAGTGCATTCAATCTGATGGTTTGCCAGGTACCATGAGCGTGGGACGTGGAACTGGCTCGGGGATATGGGATATGGATGTTAATGCTAATGGGGATGGGGATGGGTTTGTCGACTCAAGACCCGACCCAACTGGTTTCCATCGCTCATGTGACGCTGCCTGGCCAATCAATAAAATTTCACGGCGCAGTAATCAAAGCATGTGACATTAGCGTAAAGTTGAATGGGTCCATGGCCCCGGGATCTGGTTAGGCTTTTGTGTGGAAGGCTGACATGATAGGGTCGCTCGATAAATAAACTCTCACTCCCCCTATATTATATTATAATATTTTCCCTTGTAGAATCAACAGTTTGTCGCCTGCTAATTTTAAAACGGGGGAAATGGGGGGCAAAAGGGCAGAGGGACTAAAGTCAGCGAAGTTCACCTGCAAGTTTTTGAACATTTATTTTTGTGCAGCGCGCTTAGTGATGCGTTAGGGTAAACAGTTTACGGGTGGCGGTGGAACTTCCTACCAGTTTCAGTTAACTGGGCCCGGTTTTTGGTTCTGCCAACGACCAACTTGGACTGCAAATCGAGTGGAAGAGTGCGTTGGCAAACGAAAATAAGTTGCCGCTCTCCATCCTGTCTGCCAACATTTATTCTTGGCTCCGGTTCGAATAAATAGGGATCCTTGAAGTTCAGACAAAGGTCGCGCTCCCTAGAAGGTATTCAGCGCTTTGTGTCACTGCCAAGCGGGGAAATGGCCAAAAAGGAAACGCCCCGGCGCGTGTTGGAAAGCCAAAAGGAAGTCGAACAATTGGAAACCGGCTAGAAATCCGCATGACTCAGTCGGCAGCCATTGCATTTTGGCCGAGAAGTGCAGGCCAAATTAAATGGAAAGGCAAATGGAAGCAGCTGAAGTGAGGAATTGTTTTGGCAAACTCAATTTCAAGCAAGTTTCCGACAGAGTCCACTTAAATAAACATTCTCAAGGTGGAAGCGATTGAGAAAAGGCAGCTTGTTCCAGCACGTTTTTCGGACATTTAATTAATAAGCTTGGAAGGATAATTCTAAGAGAGGTAATCAGTCAGTTATGAACTACCAATTAGTTAGTTGCCAAATTGAGAGCACAAAATATTTGAATGGTAAGTTGTTGAAAGGCAAGTAAAATTTCCAAAGTATCTTTGTTTTGGGAAAAAATGAAAAGTTTCAAACAAAAATTAATTCAAGACAGAAGATTTGCATAAAGCAATACTGTTTCTTCAGCATACTTGAAGATGAAAAACGTTGTTAGAACATTTGAATAATGTCATCCCGCTAAAGCTTGTTATAACTCATAAGATGTGACATATACCTAATGCAAAATTCCGCAGAAGTATTCTAAATTTACAGCATTTATGACACATGAGTCATCTGTTCCCGGGAATTTCCAACTTATCCTGAAAAACCGCCATCCCCCGGCACAACTTTCTGCTGACAGTCGCTTAAATTAGAACAGCATTCAGAGATCCTCCGTTCGGTAATGAAATCCGCTTTAGGAATTCATGTGGGGATAGAGCCGGGAAAAAAAACGGCTGTCCCCCGAATGGAAAGTTGAAATTGCTTTGCCCGAAAGGACGGCGGAACGGAAAACCGGGGCCAGCATGGGTTAACCGAGGGTGTCCTTTGGCTATTTGCAATATGCAAAATGCGACAAAATAGTTTAGAGGAGGCCACGGCCACGCCCAGCCACTCGGCTGCCTTGGCTGCGTAAATAAACATTTAAGTTTCTATTAGGATTTGCATGGAAAGCGAGGGAAAATTGGTGGAGCGTCGAAAGGGACGAGAGCTCGACAGGATTACCGCGGCCGCAGCCAATTTAAGCGGACTCCCAAGGGGGAAAACGCGACCAAATCAGATTGTGGACTAAACATGCTAATGGCATTATAATTATCCCCCGGGAAAGGCGCAGCCACCTGCCCCAGCGATTTGCGAATTGCGAACTTTTTGCCACTTAAAGCAGCTAAATTGCATTGTGGCTGCAGTGGCAACTCACTCCTGCTCCTCCATGGACTACTGTTCCTGGTTTCGGTCTGGGCTCGAGTCCCAGTCCAAGCCCTCTGACATTAGCGTATAATCAGCATTAATGGCCAAGATAGGGACACATCATCCGGCGGATGCCAGCGGAGGATTCCAAGGGCCATTGTGCTGCAGCTTCTGTTTTCCATTTGCTCGCAGCTCGGGGATTATATCCGCAGCAGCTCAATGAAAAATTATACGCATGCTGTACATTGTACATTGTTCAGGGTTGGATTGGGATTGGGATAACGCCCTTTTGTCCGCTCCTTGGGCGACATTGAAATTAGTTTGCATTATTGGGAACAAGCGCTGGCAGTTAATTGTTCTCCAGTTGCCCTCGCTGCAGCATTTCTCTTTACAGAGAAAATCAAAATTACATACTTAAATAAGTAT